TTCAACCTTTCTCAGATTGCCTGATGCGCATGATGCCAATCCATTCATTCATGCCCCCAACTCATAAAGACTAGACCTTTCTCAGATTGCCTGATTGCCTGATGTGCATGATGCCAATCCATTCATTCATGCCCCCAACTCATAAAGACTAGACCAAATCAAAAGCTTTAAGACCACTTTTTAAAAACAAAATCAAAATACAACTACACACAAATTAATAAATCAAAATCTGAATGTTAATTACCAATTGCATCTCTTGATGCAAGTAAGACAGAGGGTACAATTATCTATCATCTTTTTCCTCATTCAAGAACATAGACCCGTATTAATCTAAATTTCAATTCTTACAGAAAGTTCCCAATTGCAGTAGTAATTGCCACTGAAACAACTCCACTTATAGAGTGTACTACTATAATAAGACCAGTACAATGGTACGTTAATACCCAGTCCAAATTATTCTCCAACATGAAACACTCTTTCATGCACTTCAACCCTCAAAGAACAAAATCAACTAACCTGGATTTGTGCTGCCATGTATTTATATACTGTAGATATGTATCAAAGCATCGTCTATGCTCTGCAAATCTAGTGCCAAAGCTTACCCTCACAACTAAATAACAAAGCATAGTAGGAGCTTTTACATTCGTGCATTGTGATCCCCTGCACTTTGAACAGACTCTTCCTTGGTCAGGTTTGTCATCTACAAAGGTAACCAACATCAACAACAACTTAACACTATATTTCTAAAATTAACAGATTCAGCTAAGTAAACAGATTAGCAGGGAAACAATGACAACTTGCTTGAGATCTTTTTCATAATCACTTTCATCAAAACAATATCTGTCTCAAGTCCACGAAATTTGATAGCAGCACGATCATATGCTGTAGGTAAGGTATTCAGATTTTTAAATGATTTTCACAACATAAATAATGGTATCATCAATCTTAGTCTATCAAAAGGGAGTATCTAAAATACCCACATCTTTTTCTACTCAAACCTACATCCAAAGTTCAAGGTTTTCTTACTTGTAAACGTAGCAAGGCATTTCATATCATCAAAAACATGATTAATGATGTTCATCATACTGCATCTCATCTAACTTTTTTTCTGATCAAATGCTTTAATCCAATTTATTTGTCCAAATATTTTGTTTTAAATTAGCTGATGCAATTAAAAAATCATGACTAATTTTCCCCTCAAAAGTTTTTTAACTCTCATATTATAGAGAAGATGCTAAACCAAAACTATACATAGCAGAATGAACTGTTTATATACAAAAAGTCTGTAACTTTACCAGATACTTTGACAATACTATATTAGTTAAAAGAATTAAACTCACCAGTTGTTGCCACGTACTGGTCTCAAATACACTGTCAAACATCTCTCGACAACTTTGTACATCTGAAGCAATCAAAAAATCAAACAAAATATATTAGACTAATGAAAAATTCAACTTCAATTGCACATCTGTAATCCAACGTTTGCTTTCAAACAACAACTATAACCCTTCAATTATGTTTCTTCCTTTGGTTAATCAATCAACCGGATGCCCTTCATATCTAAGAATCTTCTACATTACAATAAATTCATAATCATATGTAAAAATCAACATCATCAATGAAATACTTAAAGATTCCCACTAAAGCCATGACAACCAAATTACTCCATTACAGACTAACTATATATCATTAAATCATATATAGAGGGAAAAAATACAAATTAATCTGCACCAATCAATGAATGAAGCAAGAGATAGATGATACCATAGAAAAACTCCAGCTGGAGAACTGTTCTGTTTTAGATTTGAGATATAGATACTACTTTGAATCTCAACTAACTCGCCATGATTTCTACCCCAATTGAAATTCGATAAGATCCAACAATTGTTCACTCTCCAGTACTTAATTAAAGCATAATACAAAACAGATGAACAATCCAAATAAAAAAAATAAAATCGAGAGACATAAATAAAAAATAAACTAAAAATAAAATTACCTATAGCATCTGAAGGTTGATCAGAGTGAAGACGGCGAAGTATTTGAAGGAAATTTCGCCGCCATGAATGAAAGCATAAAGCGAACGACATAAGGGATATGGCGAAAGCTTCTAGTCGGATTTGCAAACAGATCTTGCCAGCCGTCAGCATCATCATCGAGCTTGGCCGGATTTGTATTATACTCGCCGAGTTTATAATTATTTTTTCGGATGTCTGTTTCCTCTAGGCGGCTTGATCTTTTTCGTCAATTCATTCACCGAATCTACATATTTATCTGTTGACAATTAGCCTCCCGTCCATCCCAATCATCCTCAACAAAAAAAAATAATAATGACAAAAGATCTTTGGAGTAAATTCAAGAAAACACTGTACCACGTGGAAGAATCGTCCAATTCTTGCCGTATGTCTATTGTTTCTGGCCAAAACTTCTTATTTGGCGAGAGAATATTCAGGGAAAAGGTTTGAATCCACTCCAAAGCCACGGTTGGGTGTGCTTTCGGTCAGATCTGAACGATTTTTCGAAGCCTTCTGGTCAGCCTCCTTCTAATGAATGAGGACCCGATGATGAAGAACAAATTGAAAATCAAATATGAAAATCCCATAGTGAGTGATTGAATATTGATTTAAGGGATTTTGTTGATGAAGCAACAGCGATCAGCGATAAGGAGGTGATAACTACTGACAGTGGCGGCAATCAGCAGTAACCGCCGGCAAGTGATTGGTGATGGTGACGGACGGCAGCAACCGGCGGCAGCTGCGGTTGATTGGAGTGGGACGTAGACAACAGTAGCGACAATCGACGATGATGATGGTGACAGCAGCAGCCAGATTGCACGAACCTTTGGACAGCGATAACAGAGCAGCAACAATCGGAAGATCAAGATTGACAGGAAGAGAACAGAGCGGTGGACAGCAACGACAGTAACTGGAGAATCGCGATTGATGATGGTGGCTATTGATGAATTGACGGCAACACAGACAGCCAGCAACACAGCGACTTCAACGGCAATGAAGGACGAAACAGAGATTGGCAGAAGCAACCGGCGGCAGCAGCGGTGCAGTGTAGCATTGGAATTTTGATGAATTTTGTTCTTGAACAGAGAGCATATCGAATTCTTTATTCTTTTGAAAATTGAATTTGATTATGAATGGTGGATTTGATTTGAGAAGATAATTTGAAAAATTAATTAGTTAGAGTGATTTGTGGGAAGTCAGTAAATACACACCGCTGAAATTGGGGAATAGTTATTACTGATTTCCTTAATTGTAGTTGATAAATTTGATTAACAGAATTGTGGAACTTTGTTTTTTTTTTTTCTGATGAAAACAGGACACGTGTCATCTTTCTTTTGCAAAAGATGTATTTTTTTGGTTTAGGCGGGAAAAAAACTTATGAGAAGCTGACACGTGTCCCAAGTGTCATTTGCTTTCATGAAGTGTAAAGGGATATTTAATATATGAGGAGAAGGCATGTCGACCATGTATTTGGTTCGAAAAAGTAAAAATGAAAGCAAATAAAAGTAGACAGAATATAGTGATACCTAAAATTTGGCTCCAAGAATATATTCCACGAATTTTTATTGCTCAAGTATTAGAATAAGCGTATAATGTTCTTAAATTAATTGACCAACTGTCCAAGTCTGTCACTAAATCAATTTTTTTCATTATTTAATTGGATACGTTAGAGTTCTATATATTACATTAAGATGCTAATAAAAGATAGTTCTGTGACGGATTATCTCGCAGACAAAGAAATCTAAGCTACTAGGGTGTGAGGAAGTTAGATGAACCATTTTTTAAAATCTTCGTTTCGTCACGATGCAATTAAGATAGGATATTGTTAGAAAATTTAGTAATTTTAATATTCCCTTCAGTCTTTATTATGAGGAATTTTTAAGATTGCACTTGATCTCATTTATGAGTTTTTTTTTTTTTTTTCTAAAATAACTTAATGTGTCAAATTCAATCCGAAAGTAACCTAAATTAAAATCAAATTCCTTGCCTAACCATTTATGTTGTCACGCAGACGTAGTTTCCATTTTCCACATCTCATTTTGAATTCAAAGAGTCCCGGCCGCCATAGCTTTTTCCTTCAGAGTCCCTGATTCAAATGCCTCCATGGCAACATCTCTCAACTCGCATCAAAATTTGAATTTTTTTTCCTCTTGCATTCTTATCCATTTCCTCTCAATTGTACTTGTTGTATAACATCGCTATAATATTGGAGGAACTAAAAATTAGAAAATTTAAAACAAAAAAAGTTCCCAGAAATTGGAAGGCCATGTCGCATTGGCTTCACATATTTTTGTTGCTCAGCAAATGCAATATATTCTTTTTTGGGCTTCCTGTGTCAGGGGGAAGACCATTTCGCCGTTAGGGGACTTAAATTTTGTTGGATGTCAAATTAAAAAGGTCTCGAAGTTGGAAGAAGCTAGAGTTTCTGTTGCTAAGTTCCATTGATAAGAATTTCAATTTTTGAAGGGAGTGGAAAGCAACAAATTCTTCGGACTTCTTCTAGCGAATTTGAATGTGCTTGGGAACGAACTTATTGTCTTCTTGATGATTTAATACCAAAGGTGTTGATTTGGTGATTGAATATTTAAAATGATTGGATGGAGTCTGCGAGGAGCTGAGGACAACGGTGAGAACAACCATCAACTAAGATGAGGGCGGAGGCGGCGAGAACATATATCTCCTTTTCGCGTGTCTATACAGAGTCATGCAAGGATTATGATTCTAATTTAGGTCACTTATGGAAATAATTTGATAAAAAAAGGTTGTTTCAAAAAAAAACCTCCTTATTTATAAGGCATTTGATATTGCTACCTGCTCATGTAATGTCCCAACTTAAATTAACTAAGCTTTATTGAATTGAATCCTAAAAGAGTTCAAAACATTTTTAATATGAGCAATTAGATAATTTACTAAAAAAATAAATAAGTTAACTAATTTCATTAATTTTTACAAATTTTTTAGTTATGTCCTTTTTTATATTCTATCTGTCCCAAAATGATTATAAAGTTCGAATTTTCATTTTTAGTTATAGTGTTACAGATTGAATGAAGTAACTAACCATATTAAAAGTATGAAACAAAAATAAATAAAAATTAAAATCCGGTGGTTACATCCACTCCCCCCCTCAATCCATTCTTTCTCGTGACTTAAATACAGTTATCTAACAAATCTCTTCACCTTTCCACCTCAAAACAACAATCAAATTTCTTTCAATATGTAAAGATAGCAATAATTTATGAAAAAAAAAGGCCCCTGGCTTGCGCTAATAGCACTTATTTCCTTATCTTCTGATTGATTTCGACCCATGGAAGGAAGTCGAGCATATTCACAAGTGAGTGTAGAATCCCCAAACGACGGCGGCGGCGGCGCCGGCGGCGTTGTTTCTGAAACATCATTCCAGAAACGACGCTGCTGTTTCTGCTTCGACTGGGGTTCAACCCGGTCGCCAACACGGGGGCCGAACTGGTGGCAGAGGGTCCGTTCCGGCGAGCTCGGGCGAGATAAATCGTTGTGGAGCCGGGGGATCAACGCGTTTAAGAAAATCCGAGAGTGGTCGGAGATCGTAGCCGGGCCGAGATGGAAGACGTTTATTAGGCGGTTCAACCGGGGTGGTAGTCGGAAGAATAACAGTTCGAATTGCCGGTACGACCCTCTGAGTTACGCCTTGAATTTCGATGAGGGGCCGGGCCAGAACGAGGATTTCGACCGAGACGACGATCATCGATTGAGGAATTTCTCCGTCAGATATGCTTCTATTCCTGCGGCCGGGAAAGGATCGGCGGCGGACAGCACAGATGGGCCAAATTTCGTGTAACGTGCGCTGGAGCATCTAACATGCGCATGGGGCGGTTACAGCTAAGCATGATTCTGATAGGTTGTTTATTTATGAATGATTTTTTTTTTTATGTACTTATCTCTTATTTTTGTAAATAATGTTTTTTTTTCTGTAATTGAAAATGATTGGAGTCGAGAATTTGTCTGTTTCAGATTGGTTTATAGATGGGGTTTTGTGTGTCTGATTATTTACGCTATATCCGGGGGAGAATGTAGCGTAGATAAATGATGAAAGAATATGTTTTGGGTTTGAAAGCTTTTGGACTCCATTTTATTCTATTTTTACTGACATGCAGCCCTTAAGATTATTCCTTTTTTAAAAAAAAAATCGCATAAAGTTTTTTAATCTCTCTGGTATCACTCACGCAGTTTTGTAGCTAAATTTGATGATCTTTTCTACTCTATAATGATATGGGCTTGTTTGGCCAATATTTTATTTTGTTTTTGTTTTAGTTTTTTATTTGATTTTAAGTTGTGATTTAAAATATTTTTTGAGAGAAAATTTAAAAATTTATTTGGGTAATATTTTAAATAAAATAATAATATTTTCAGACCACTATCGGACCACCTCCACTACCGACGCTGTCGCCAGTCCGCTGTCAGTTGGCGGACCGGTCGGTCGGATTTTGAACTGTTGGCAGCTGGCGGCGGTGGGCGGCCCGGCGTCAGACGGTGGCGGCGAGGTGGTTCGGTGGTGGTGTGAAAAAATGGTGTAAAAATAATGTTTGAAATAAATTTTAAAAATTAAATTAAAAAATTATTTAGATAATATTAAGTTTTGTGTTTGAGATTGTTTTAAGAGGTAAAATGAGTAAATAATTTGTTGGCCAAACAAGGGCATAATCTTTTAAGCTTTTCTTAAACAGTCCATTCTAGTGTTGAATCCCACGATCATTTTCTCTGTTTGCCCGTGTCCCTCTGTTGACTCTTTTTGTGTTAGAAAAAGCAAAAAGATATGTACAGCCCTTTCGCCATTTTTTTCACTTTCTTTTTACTTTTGGCGATCAACAATAACTTTTTGGTAATACTAGACTATACCCCTTTGATTTATAATCAATCTATTAAATATCTCATTAACATACTAACATCTTTATCAATTTAGTGTAAACCCCCTTCAGTCCATATTTTTTAAAATATACAAATTTAAATGTTTTTAAAATTATATAATAATTAAGTTTTAAAAAAATACTTCATATTAGTTCTTTTATATTAATGCCCTTGAACAATAACTTTTTAAAATCAAATGTCTTTTGAAATAAAATGTTCTTCATTAATTAATTGACATTTTTTAAGCATAATAAATTTATATTTTTTTAAGTATAATAAAATTATATTATTAATTAACCATGTATTAATTAATATATGTTTTTAAATATTTTCATTTTTGATAGTCAAAAAGCAAAGAAAAATAAACTTAAAAAAAAGAAAGAAATGAAGTGTATGTAAAACATAATCATTTTAGTGATTTAACTAGATGTTAAACCTGTGCGATATGCAGGGTTTATTTATATACATTAAAATCAACCAAAAAAAATATAAAAAATGTAAAATATAATTGGAGTCTATATTAAGATACATTACACAACTAAAATTAAATAAAGGTGTAATTGTAAAGATAAAATAATGCATATCATTTGAAATGCAAGTATTCAGTTGATTGAAGGAGAAGAACTGGACAATAACACTCATAAGTAGAGTAAAATAAATAATATTGTATTAATGTTACATATTGAATGAAAAGATAAAATGATTGTACGCATAAAATACATAATGAAGTAATTATCAATAGAAGATGGTAGACTATGTGTGAAGTTTAAAATTTTTATGGTTATTTTGTTGTAATTAAAGATTCTATGGTACTGTTAGGCCCAATACTTAATATTTTAGAGCAAAAAACAAACTGTAGAGTTAAAATTTTTGCCCTTTAATCCCTTTTTGCTATGACAATAGAAAATAATAACTAATGAAATTATGGATAAAAAAAACATAGATTTAGTAACGTCTAAAAAAGAATCCTAAAACATCATTTTGCATAAGAACATACGGAAAAAAAAATCATATATAACCTTAATTAACCATTACCTCCCATGCCACACGATCGACCCACTATTAGTTCATCACTTTCAGAGCAACAAATCAACTTTAGGGCTAAATTTTTTGCCCTTTTATCTTTGGATTCTGGGTTGTTTTGGGGAGGGGGGAATTTTTGCAACACTAGAACATATTCATGGTTTGTGTGACATGTATAAATAGAGATAAATTGAAATTGATGATAATTGATTATTCAAAATTTCAGTGATAAAGATAAAGTTTATAACAATTTTTGAGATATTATTAAAGAAAGATTATATTTATTTGAGTTGATATAATATTACACAAATAAATGCATTGTTTGAAATTCAAAAGATAACATTTAATTATAGTTAAATCCCATCCCTTTGGTAATAATTGAAGGCAAGTTTTGTACCTTTTTTTTTTTCTTTTTTATCGGTAAAAAATACATGTTTTTGGGAGAAGATTTTAAAGATAACATTAATGTTGAATGATTGGTATTTTTTTTTTTTGAATTGTAGTCTATTGATTTACATGACTGGGAAGGAGATTTGTTTTTTAGAGAGATTAATTAAATGAGTCCAGTAGTAACTTTGAGGATTCTTTTGGGGAGGGAATGATTCTGGTGCATTAATGTTCATTAATTCTGTCCATTAAATTTAATTAATTTTTATTTTCCTATTTTATAATATAGTTTTTAATGCCATTTGATAAAACTTTATTTACATAAAATTTAAAGGACTATGAGTATAATTATTATAAATATTTTTTGACTCAAGTATTAGAAAAATGACACATAAAATTTTATTCTATGTAACACCTTTAAAATTCTTTTTTGTTTCCTCTGTCTGGTTTCTCTCTTATTATAATACTATAAATGTTTAACCCTTACTCATGGGTATATGTTACCATTAAAAAAATTAGGAGATTTATTGTATATCAGGGAAGGGGGAAGCAGGGCCCGCAAAACGAGCCGAGACACGCCAAAACTCAAACTCTCAAAGGGTAAAATGTAGTTCGTCCTTTACTTTTTCTTTTTTATTTCTTTATTTTATTTAATGACTAATCTTAAACATGTCTTTAAATAAAAAATGAAATCTGACCGGACATTGAGAATAATCCAGAGTTAATTATATGTTCAAATAAGCAAAGGTACTGGTGGTTTAGAGTTGCTGAGGTGGTTAGTCCAACCGAAAGCAATATTGACCTACTGAAATAAAAATAGTTGGCAAAATGTATCGATTTGTTTTTGAATGAGAAAATTATGACTACCATTTTTGGGTTTAAAAAAGAAAAAAAAAGATGCCTGTTTTGTTTATCCTTAATATACATACTCTCTCTGTCTCAAAATTATTGTCCAGTTTAAGATTTCACTTTTAGTACAATTTGAACTATAAATAAAAACCCAACTGAATAATAATTATGAGACAGGGGAAGTACATTTTTAAGGATTAAAATATGTGAAATTTGCACAAATGAACGATTAGATAAATGTATTGAACGGAGTAATTAGCCCCTATATCGTTACATGTCTCTCTAACATGTCACGTATAAACGTGAAATGTGATGATGTATGGTTGCTACGTTAGGTTATCCTCATGTAAAAGAACATTTTGGAGATTTCAAAGTTGAAAATCTTACATTAAATGGTGTCAGTAAGTTCCTAAAAACATATAGTTATAAAGGAATTCGTTCTGACAATTCAACATCATTTGAGTTCATGGACAGAATGCAGAGGTAATGGGGAAGGAAAAAGAAACAACTCAAAAACACAATCACTCCCAAATCAGCTTCTTCCCCAACAGCCGGCCGACGAGGGGTGACAAAATATATCTGGCTGGCACACCATAAAGCATAACAGATTACAACCACCAAGATTAGTCTCGCGGATTGTTGATATCGACTTCTCTGAGGTTTTCCGGGGACAACCCTGCAAAGGAAAATTTTCATTAGTTTCTCAAGGCAACCTCAAAGAGAGATGATCCAGACACACCTGTTGATATAAGTGAAGCCTCCAATCAAGCAAAAGCTAAGGAAGCTAATGACAGCAACTGTGTCGGGGGTTATTGGTGCTCTACCACTCCACCAACCAGTGCTGAGAATCCATTTATACATTGAAGACTGCCCATTTTCCTGTGTATGTAACGCAAGTACAGAACTGAAGTGAATTGCTGATAGAGAAACCAGGCTAAAGATAACTGCAAATTTTTCAAAAGAATACGTATACAAGAATCAGATTCATAGGCGAACAAATTGTTCATGAACAAAGTATTACGATAATGAAATTTCCTTCTTGGTTCATTAGTTCCTTGGATCCTTCATCATTCCTTAAGGATCTTATCAAAGCACAGAATACAAAGCTCTTCAATGGGAAAAACCTGATTTCCCTCCATTGCAGACTATACCACGATGGTTAGTTCATTCTCATGTCAATATCTACCACTCGATAAGTACATTTTGCAGTGCTACATGGTTCAGAATCACATAGCAACAAATGCTGCAAAATACCACTTTTGGTGAATGGGACAGTATCATCTCCCTTATGTGATCCCAATGAAGCGCAATTCAAAAGGTGAACCTGGTATAACGCTCTACGTTAAACCATTACACAGCTTTTCCACGAAATGAAACAGAATAACTAACAACTTAATGTCCATAGTCTATTCTATATTAAGGAAATTGAAATGACCGATCCCAGTTCATCATTTCAAAAATATTGCCTTTTTATTTGGGTAGTGTAAAGCAAACTTACTCTGCTCATGAACACCATGTCATGTATCAATTTGGTGAAGAACTTCCCAACAAAAAATTCAACATGAAAGATCTACTTCAAGTTCATTCAACTATTTTGTTGCCATGAATTTCAGAATCTATCCAACCACAGGATTTGCTTTAAGAATCTCATTGCTTACAAACTTTTACAAGTAAATTTCTTGAATCAAGTACCAATCTATCATCAAAGCTAATCCGTACTTTTTATTTCCTTATTCAAAGATTAGTGCTGCCATAAAGAAATAATAGCATAATGGATCAGTGCGTGGAACTAGAGTATAAGGCCATTAAGTTGAACCCTAATAGACATGCACTGCCAACACTTTTGTTATTATAAAAACATAATATTAATTATTGGACCATCAAAATAGAGGTGAAGATGAAGGCTGGTGAAGTATCTTAGCTTTTACTTTATATATTTATATGATACCGGTGAATAATTATATTTTATTTAATTGGTACAAGTTATTATCATTAGGATCTTAAAGTTGAAGGAGAGTCTCATTTCTAAATCTCTGCAGAACCAGAAATCACCATTCAACCTGCAAAAATGCTTCCTATTGAAATAGGGGTATGCACTTACCTAAAATATTGGCAGAGATGCATATTGTTACTTTCATAGTTAACACTTTTGAAGGTCCTCTTCAAAAAAAAAAAAAAAAAAAAAACACTTTTGAAGGTACATGTAGGACTAACATGGAAAAAATCAAAGAGTCATGAGCTGAGCATAACGCCCAAAATTTATACTTTTGGTAGACTTTAAATGGGAATTGAAACATCTTTTATGTAAAGAGAAAAGAAACAGAAAAAAGAGAAAAGAAACATAACATTGAATTTACTAGCTAGGAAGGAGATCAATGACCTCTATAACTTGACTAGCTCTCATACGTCAACGCTTGAATTCCCAGAACCAGTAAGGAACAAAATTATTGGGAAGACAATAGTTAAGTTGTTGATTTCCCACAGAATGGTAAACGCAGAAAGATTTTGGCTAAAGATAGAACGAAAATGCTGGACAATTGAAAGTGAAACAAATTTAGTAAGCAAGACGCGCCAATGAAAGTTTTGCTGACAATTGGAAACGAAAATAAGGCCAGATCAATCTAAAGCTCAACAATACATTATGAAAATTCCAGAACAGCCTAGATGATGGTTGATCACGGAGCACCCATAAACCAAGATTACTACAGATCAGAAAAGCCAGAAATGTATATAAGGGTCCTATTAGTCGTCAACATTGGATTTAAGAGGTTATCAAACAGACTCATCACCAAGACTAAGGTGTACAGACAGTACAGTCTAAAGAGTGCACAAGGATGGAACACAAATAGCAATAATGGATTCCCACACCATTCGAACAAAAAGGAAAGAAACAAGCAACCTGCTCCGACATATGAAAGACTAGTGCTGATTATAGAGTAAAGTGGCATTGTATTACCCAGCAAAATAATCATTCATGCAATAATGATGGCATCAGCTTGTAGAAACAATTAAGAATCAAATAGTTTCCTGAGCGGTCCCTTGTATTTTCAGAAAGGTATAGCAAATTCTGAGGTTGTTAATCCGGTTCCAAAGATATCTTTTAGTAATATCTGAAAGAAATCTTGTTCTATATAGTTTTTTCTTTATTCATCCACAAGACCGCATATTGCAGCACAGAATAGACTCCTGGAAGTTTTACTTCAGTTTTCAATTAAAAAAAAAACCACTCTCAATGCTTTATAGTGTAATAACCAGAAAGACAATAGAATGCAATACAATCTCCAAAATCATTAGCTAAACTTCATTGCAAGAACATCATACAGAAACCAAGAGTACATCAATGAAGGCGAACCGCAAGAACAATCATGGTTCCAACAGAAAATACAGTTGCAATTCACTATACCTTACCTCAAACAAGTGGTCTAGGAAAAAGTGTGAGAGAGAACCTGCTGATACCAAAAGAAAACACTGCCTTCTAGATAGGGGCACCTGAAAGAGCACGAAAATTTGACAAAACGATATAAGAAATAGAAATATTCTGACTGTCTCAATGCTGAAGATAGATCTCAACGAGACATACTCAACTCAAGCATCTGTTTGAGATATACGAATCCACATAATGCTATCAATCAGATAACTGTCAACTAGACACACACACAAGCATGCTTAAACACTAATATACCAATCCAGATAATGCTCTAAACTTAAACAAAGGATAAGCATTGTTCAAGCATGTTTATACTCTTTCAATGGTAAAATGTTAAATACTGGATGAAGTAATTACGAACTTCGAAGATCATAACCCTTGTAAAAGACCTTCCTCTCACCCTATGATGATGAATGCCATCAAGAAACTTTTTTGATCATCCGTTTCTGAAATTTTAGAGAACAGAGTACTCGTGTGCAGGCCCTGAGGAACTAAATAACATTGCCTCTTTGAATTGAAACTTTTTTCATTCGTGATCTCAAGCATTGAATTTTTAACTACTTGGATGATTTCAATTATCCTCTTCAGAGCCAATAGTTTTTCTCTTGTTAGAATGAGAAGAATATACCATTTCCAACAGCTTACTCGGAAAATTCGCTAGCTTACACAGTCGGCGTCTGTTAGTTAATGCATTAGATTGACTGGGTCATGTGACTAAGTTTTCAGAATATTTTATTTTCATAGATTCTAGGAAATAAGTTTTGATTTTCCACATTTTGTTGAAATTGTTATTTTAAGTCAAGTTTATCATTGCAATCTTTCTGCCCGATATATACTGCATCACTTGATGAATATACATATAGATATAAGCAAGCCATTCTTTTTCTTCAACTCCAATGCTTCCTATTTCGTCTTAAAACCAACAATGTCCCTTAAAGCTTCTCTAATTTACATTATCTAGTATTGTTGTTACAGAAAAAAAAATAGTTTGGACTCTGTGTTTTGAATCCAAGCAGATTTCCTCTCGTTTTCACTAATTCATTCATATAAATTAATTGATGTGCCAGAAACTCATCCAATTAGAGCCTGCTTTTACCGTCAGATTTATGGTACTAATTTAACAAATAAGACTCTTATTTTGAAACGGAAGGAGTAAAGGGGTGTTATTTATTGGTAAAATCTAGCTCATCGCAGTGTATGTTGAGGATGCTCAACAAAGAATAATAAATTCCAAAGATATTGATACCTATCTCCATAATAAATTATTAGAAATCCATTCAAGTGGACATTAAATAAAAATGGAAACCATAAATTTCACAAGAACATGCATCTTACCCCAGAAACAGAATCAAGCAGACGCCTGTGGAGAAGAACCCTCGAGACCCAGCTGTAGAACCAAGAGAGAGGAAGGCCCAGAATGATGACGTAGTAAAATGGGTGGTGAACCAGTGATTCCATAGTGTAGCCCACGGAATGTCCCAGCCCGAAGACAGATGTCAGCCACTCAGAGAAAGAGCCGATGTCAGGCCCGAAAAACGCATTGATGGCGTACACTAGACAGTGATGTGGGCCGAACCGCCCATTTGAGATGCTCATCAAAGCTTGGCCGGTGCTGAGTGTGTACAGCATATGAGGTCCTGGGCCTGGCATGGTGGCTGCTCGGTTGCTCAGTTGATCGGTGATCAGCTGTTGTTTTTTTTTTTTTCGGGTTCAGTAATTCAGCTCTCCGGCTGAATTTTCCGGCATAGATTTGAAAAAGGGGATTGTTAACATAACTGGAAGAAGGAGAAGCTTCTGTTCTGTGCAAATTTTGTCTAAAAAGGTGGCTTTTGCCAAATGCCAAAGTCCCAAAGAAATTGCTCCAATTTGGAAAATTCAGCTCTCTATGTGTTTCTTTTTCTTCAACACGTGTCACTCGTGTGACTAACTAACTGCATTCAAAGTTCTTACTATGGATTACCACGCATGGGTTAGTTTGGTCCAGTAAAAACGTTTTACGTTACACCAAAATATTTTACCGAGTGACTTCACTATTCAGATTATATTAAATTGTTTCCTAACAAAATTCAGTGTATCTATAAATGATTTTGCTGTTGACAGTTTTCAATAGTCATTGGTAATGAAGTTTCCATTTGCTGTGAATATAATCAAAGGATGTAAAATTGCAATTACAACACATGTCCTCTCACTGTCCAAAAAAAATAATTCACAATGATTTTTCAAATTAATAAAAATAGTATAATCTCAAAGTTGATGTAAAATTTTCTTTTCCATAGGGGAATGATTTGTAACGAAAGTACGAACCGTATGCTTATAGATTTTGCGGAGTGAGGAACTCTAAATCTAGAGGTGAAACGATTAATTTTTATCTTATATAGGTGAGATTAGGACTAGCAGTTGTACGGGTTGGGTCGGTGGCGGGTTGGGTCAAGATGGGTTTGGGGAGAGGCGTGTCAAGACCCAACCTAACCTGCCATAAGCGCGAGTAAGGACCGGTTGGGTCAAGACGGGTTGGCGCAGGTCGCGGGTTAACCCGCGGGTCAGTTGCTTATTTTTAACCAATATAATTTTTCAACCCAACCCGTGGGGGTCATGACTTATTTTTTTGTTTTTATTTGGTTAATTTACAAATTTTCAATTTGTAGCAAAAAAAAAGTACATCAATTTTAAAATTAAAATTTTCTAACTTACAGTTGTATTTTAAAACTCGTTGGACTATAAATTTTTACGTTTCGGGCCAAGTTTAACTGGGTCGATCCGTGGGCCGAACTGGATCGACCCAGCAACTGGGTCACGATACGCTGGTCGAATTGGGATTTTTTTCAAATAAAATTTATATTTACCTTTTAAAACTCGTTGAACTCTAAAATTTCACGTTTCGGGCCAAGTTTAACTGGGTCGACCAAGTAACTGGTCACGATATGCGGGTCGAACTGGGAATTTTTTCTAAATAAACTCTATATTTACCTTTTAAAACTCGCTAGACTATAAAATTTCACGTTTTGGCCCAAGTTTAACTAGATCGACCTGTGGGCCAAACTGGGTCACGATATGTGGGTCGAATTGGGATTTTTTTCAAATAAAATCTATATTTATTTAAAACGTACACTTGTATTTTATAACTCATTGGACTTATTTATGTACATATTACGTTGGTTTGCCTAGACAATTTTTATCACTTCAGTGTTGGAATTATATTTTCTATTTTGTTGTATAGTTTGTATGTTTGGAACCTTGTCCTCTCATTTTATGATTTTATTGTTATATTTTTAAATCAAGTACTTGTTTCTAATGTTATTCTTAATTATTGCAACTTTATTTGATACTTCATTTAGAAAACTTGATTTTAGGGTAGGAAATCAACATTATATTGTACTAGTACAAAAAGACTATTCTTAAACGACCAAGTTATAAACCTCCATTCAGTCAACAATTAAGGAAACTTCTTCGGTGATGAATTTGTTCAAATCAAGTTCGAGCAATTTTTCTTTAGAATTTTTATTTTAATCTTCAGTGCAATCTGCAGTCAACCAGTCGCGGGTACACACAATCGCCTCCACTTTGCTTGGTAACATAGATGTGTGATACCTCCCTAATATTCTTCCACCATGACTGAAAGCAGATTCTGATGCAACGGTGGTAATAGGGACACTCAAGATATCTCGAGCCATAAGAGAAAACTGTGGATATGTCTCTGATTTACTTTTCCAATAAGTGAGAATGTCAAGATCTGGATTTTTTTAACGATCTAGCATTGGCTCCTCAAAGTACATATCCAGCTCGGACTTAATTCCAGTAGCAACCGACCCTCCAAAATCTTGAAACTTGTATGTATCAAAACCCTATAAATAAATGGCAAAATAAACCAATTGAAGGTAATTTTAATTTTTATTCGAGAGAAAAAAAAAAGAAAGAAAAAGTCATAAACATACTTTTTAATGCAAATAGTACCACAAAATGCAAAACTTTAAACAATATAGTCAATAGCATGCAATAAGAAGAAGTAAAAAGTAAAAATTTATTCATACTTACTGCAGTAGAAGATGTAGAAGGAACCACAACCCCCCTAGTGGAAGTCTGTGAAGGTTGACTAGAGTACAAAATGGTCTCATACCCAAGGAGCAAATCTCTCCTATCCTTATCCACCCTCTCAATTTTAGTTTTATGAATCAATGGGTCTAACATATTGAAACAGAATTCCACAAACTTCAACTTGTAACGGGGATCAAGCACCACAGCAAGTGATAACACCCTACTATAACAATCCCAATAATCAAGGAACTTGTTTCTCATTTCCATAGCCATGTGAGCAATAATGAATTCCTCATTATCCACTTTTCAAAGAGCAACTGAATCTTCCAAACATTCTGAAAATATAGATTTGCTGTCGATACTTTCTTCCAAAAAACAAAGTGGTCAAGTCTGAGAAAGGCTTCAAAAATTCAGCAATACTTTGTACCATATCCCATTCTTCATCTGAAGGACAAAACTTCTTGAAATCATTATCTTTTAGACTAACAGGAAGAAAGCTTCTTTATAAATCAGAGCCCTGTCAAGCATCAAATACGTGGAATTCCATCAAGTTGACACATCTTGTGTCAAGTTCTTCCTGTAATCCAAACCAAGTTGCTTGACATGATCAACAAACTTTTTGGTACGTAGCTCAGAACCCTTCAAGTACTTCACACTTTCCCTAATCTTGTGGATAGCTTTCTCAATAACTTTCAAACCAGATTTGACAATCAAATTTAAAACATGTGCTCCACAACGAGCATGTAGAAACCTATTATTACACACAGCTGAGTTATCAAAAACAAAATAAGTCGATACTGCTTCCACAGCTTTATCATTATATTTGGCATTGTCCAAAGTGACAGTAAATACGCTTTTTGAAATTCTCCATTCTTCCAAAAACTCAAAAAGCTTTTCACCTAATACACCACCAGCGTGAGGCGGAGGCACATGATGAAAAACAAACAACTTACTTTGCAATCTCCATTCGCTATCAACATAATGCGCAGTCACCGACATATATCCATCGGTTGCAACCGATGTCCACATATTTGTAGTCAAGCAAACTCTCCCAGAGATTGACTCAAGTTCCTTCTTCAATTTTTCCTTCTCCTTCTGGTAAAGTTTCAAATTATCTTCTTGGCTTGTGTTTCTACATATAAAACTCACTGTAGGGTTCAAAAAAGAATGCAAATCTCGGTTTGCCTTATACTCCACAAAACTAAAAGGATAATGATGTTGCACAATGGCAACTGCCATCTTCTCCCTACAGACATCCTGATTTACAACAACCAATCTAGGCTCACCACCAATTTTCTACATCCATATGTTTTTTTCATAATGGTGAGCTAAATTTGACGTATCTGCTTTTGAGTCGGTAACATATTCTGCTTTACAAATCTTACAAACAACTTTTCTTCTTTTATTAACCTTCACAATATTAAAGTCTTTCCAAACATCAGAAGTGAGTCCTTTACGATCCTCATCATCACCAGTAATGGATTCACCGGTTATCTCTTGAGATTGTAAACTAGACATTGTGAACTAGACACCTATAATAGATCACCAGAATGAACTGTCACTTAACAAGTACAATAGACAAAAACTAAAAATGCATGTTCCAAACCAAAACTATGCATGTTCCAGGGGGCGTTTCCCACAAATTCAGAATATCATAGGATAATTATACCAACCGACTAAGCAGAAAAATGAAAGAAAACTCAGTCACCTTAATCATATCTTAGACAGTTTGCACTAAAGTTTTGTCATTCTGTTTACCCAAAATATTGAGATATGAACTGAGCAAGAGAATGCAGAAAAACAAGAAAGAATACAAACAACAAAGCACCAAGAATCGAAAGGCTTCACTTTGTAGTTCACTTTTCAGCAAAGAATCGAAAAGTATAACTTTGATTTCACTCCAAACAGCTCAGAACTTCCAAGGCAAATGAACATGCAAAGCCTTAATCCCAATTACACCCAAAGAAAGAGAAAGTCACAAAACCACAGACACAAGCCCAAGAGAACAAATCCCAAAAAATTACACTGAATTTGATACTCTCTCTGGTCCTTATTATAAGTCATTTTGACTTTTTCTAGGTTTCACCTAGTATACATTTTTAATCGACAAAAAAACTTTAAAAATATATTTTCACATTCGTTGTGTTTTCTTAATTGTTATGAAGTATTTTTAAGGTTTTTTCATCGATTAAAAATGTGTACTAGGTTAGACCTAGGATAAATCAAAATGCCTTATATTAAGGACTGGAGGGAGTAGAATCAAATAGAACCCACTTTTGCGAGCAACAATTCAACCAACTAGAAAATCCCAGAAAGCCACATTCCAACTTCAAACACTCGAAATTCAAGAAACCCAATAAAGCTTAGAAAATGAGAAGGAACGGTAGCTAATTATACATAGAAGCAGAACAAACTGCAAACCAGAAGAGTAGAAAAACCTTGACTTTGTACAATGCACGACGTGAAAATTGGGAGTAAAAAAAAAAGAGTGACCATATGGAACCTAAAGTCATTAGCAACAATGTATTTAATTAACTAACTCCAAGATGGGATTTTTATAATTATAAACTGAGAATTAACGAAGAAAACTTCGAAAAACAGAGACCTGAGAACCTGGCGTTTTCTAAGTAGTAAGGCAAGATTCAAGAATGTGGAAACATGGGATTCTGTGATAATTTGATATCCATATATGAAAGAGTTGGGCCAATATACAAATAACAAGAAAGAATACGTAATAGAGACCCATTTTGTGCTTCACTTTTCAGCAAAGAATCGAAAGAACAAAGCACCAAGATTGGAATTCAAAAAAACCGGATCTATTGAACCAAAAAACTGCCTTC